TGTCCGACGGCCCCCTCTGGCACCCTGTCTGGTCTTTACCTCCCCTCGTTCTCTACGAACTTGGTGAGTGGTGCTGACCTACAGGATGCGGGGGTTCACCAGTTCACTCCTGCGAGTCAGCGGGTGACCCACTGCACGGACGCTCGGACAGGCCGACACCTGGCCACGTTTACACGTCGGCCGGGGTTGAGCCTGTACACACTGACCACTGCGTCTCCTCCGGTCCCTGCGTCTGGTCAGGTAGCTGCGTCGGGTCAGGTGTTTGCTGCAGCGTCCAGGTCTGGTCCTGAGTCTGCCCCCTGTTCGTGTCGCCTCCTGTCTCACGAGACTCTCCTCTGGCACCACCGCCTTGGTCACCCCTCCCTGCTTCGTCTCCGAGGCATGGCCTCCCGTGTCCTTGTCTCTGGTCTTCCCCGGTCCCTCCCTCCCCTTCCTCCGGGGCCTGGCCCTTTCTGCGTCCCCTGTGTCGAGGGGCGACAGCGGGCTGCCCCTCACTCCTCCCAGTTTCCTCCGACAGAGGCCCCGCTGCAGACGCTTCACATGGACGTGTGGGGCCCGGCCCGCGTCCGTGGACAGGGTCACGAGCGCTACTTCCTGCTGGTGGTTGACGACTACTCGCGTTACACCACAGTCTTCCCCTTGCGCAGCAAGGGTGATGTCACTGAGGTGTTGATCGACTGGATCCGCGCAGCTCGTCTCCAGCTCAGGCGGAGCTTCGGCTCGGACTTTCCTGTTCTGCGTCTGCACTCTGACAGAGGCGGAGAGTTCTCCTCTGGCCTTCTGCGAGCCTACTGTCGTGCACGAGGCATCCGCCAGACCTTCACGCTTCCGGACTCTCCACAGCAAAATGGGATTGCTGAGCGCCACATTGGCATGGTCATGGACGTCGCCCGTACGTCCATGATGCATGCGGCTGCCCCCCATTTTCTGTGGCCGTTTGCGGTTCGGTACGCGGCGCATCAGATCAACCTTCAGCCCAGGGTCTCCATGCCGGAGACCTCCCCAGCCTTGCTGTGGACGGGGAAGGTTGGCGATGCGTCTGCGTTCCGTGTCTGGGGATCTCGGGCGTTTGTCCGCGACTTGTCTGCGGACAAGCTGTCCCCTCGTGCTGCTCCTTGCGTCTTCCTGGGTTTCCCCCCTGACGCCCCAGGGTGGCAGTTCTACCACCCCACCTCTCGCCGTGTTCTGTCCTCCCAGGACGTCACGTTCGACGAGTCGGTCCCCTACTACCGCCTCTTCCCCTACCGCACTCCGTCCCTCCCCCCGCCACCGCTCTTCCTGGTACCAGGTCCCCCCCCGGTAGACCCCCTCCCCCCTCAGGGTCCTGCCCCTTCAGGTGTGTCCCAGGTAGACGCTGTTGAGCCTGTCGAGGTCGCTGGTGACTCTGGTGCTGCTGAGGGTGCTGAGCCTGGGAGTGCTGACTCTGGGGGTGCTGAGCGTGTGGGTGCTACGCCTGGGGGTGCTGAGCCTGAGGGTACTACGACTGGGGGTGCTGAGCCTGGGGGTGCTGAGTCTAGGGGTGCTACGCCTGGGGGTGCTGCGTCTGGGGGTGCTGAGCCTGGGGGTGCTACGCCTGGAGGTGCTGAGCCTGGGGGTGCGGAGCCTGAGGGAGCTGGGCCTGCTGGTGCTGTGCCTGGCGGTTCTCCGGGTGCTTCTTCTCGCCGGGAGCCACTCTCTCCACAGGAGCTGCGTGAGTGGTTTGCCCGGCGCTGGAGGCGAGCTGCTGGAGCTGGAGGAGCTGCGGGTACTGGAGTTTCTGTTGCTGCTGAGGGAGCTGGTGCCACGGGTCCCGGCGGTGCTCGTACTGGGCGTACTGGAGCTGCTGGACCTGCGGGTACTTCTGGAGCTGGAGCTGCTGCGGGTGTTGGCGCGGAGGCTACTGCTGTCGGTCCTGGAGGCGGTCCTGCTGGGGGTACTGCTGGTGCTGCTGGGGGTACTGGAGCTGGAGCTGCTACTGGTGCTGGTGCTGCCACAGGGGGTGCTGGTGCTGTCCCTACTGTGTCTGGAGTCGCCGCGCGGCCTCGGCCGTACTTCGTTCCGCTCCTTCAGCAGGTTCTTGGTCTCCCGTCTTCTACTGGTCCTCCTCCTCCCTTAGAGTGTCCACAGCCTGTCCCGTCGCAGTTATAGTTACAGCCGGCCTCCCCACTGCCTGCTCCGTCTCCCTACACTGGTCCTACTGGAGGTCTTGCTGAGCGTCGTGAGCCTGCGTCTCGCCCTGCGTCGCCTGTCCGTGCTGCTCGCACTAGTGGTCGTGGTTCGCGTCAGCGTCCTCCTCCTGTCCCTGGCACGCACCGGATGTCTCTGCGTCCGTCCACTGCTCCTCTGCGTGCCCCTTTGCCTTCTCCTCCTGAGTCTTCTCTTCCTGCTCTTGCCGACCCGGAGTCGGACTCTCTTCGTGCTGCCAGTCCTACTGTCACGCGTCTCCTTGCTACTGTTGTCACTGACCCTTCCTTAGAGTCCACTGCTGCGTCTGCCCTAGTTGCTGAGCTCGTCGACTTTGCTGCTCGCTGTCGCCTAGACTATGTCGCCAGTCTTGTTGCTGAGTCTGAGTCTGTCTGTCCTCCGTCCGTCGGGGGTGAGTGTGCCCTTGGCACGGACGTCCTTGAGGACAGGCAGGAGGAGTTCCAGTGCTTGGCCGCTGCTTCACCTCATCTCGTGTCCGTACTGCTTACCCCTGAGGGAGACCCGGATGCACTTGACATCCCGACTCCGCGCTCTTACGCGGAGGCGATAGAGGGTCCCTACTCCTCTCAGTGGCAGGCAGCTATGGACGCAGAGATGGCTTCCTGGAAGTCCACAGGCACCTACGTTGACGCTGTTCCCCCTCCTGGGGCGAACATCGTCAGTGGCATGTGGATTTTCAGGGTGAAGCGGCCGCCGGGTTCTCCGCCTGTCTTCAAAGCTCGTTACGTGGCTCGAGGCTTCAGTCAGCGGCAGGGAGTTGACTACTTTCAGACCTTCTCTCCCACCCCGAAGATGACCACTCTTCGGGTACTGCTGCACGTAGCTGCTCACCGTGACTACGAGCTACACTCTCTTGACTTCAGCACTGCTTTCTTGCAGGGCAGCCTGCACGAGGAGATCTGGCTGCGTCGCCCACCTGGTTTCACTGGGTCTTTTCCTCCTGGCACCCAGTGGAGCCTACGGCGGCCAGTCTACGGTCTCCGCCAGGCACTGCGTGAGTGGCACGACACACTGAGGACTACACTTGCGGCTCTTGGGTTTGCTCCCTCTACTGCCGACCCGTCGCTGTTTCTGCGCACCGACACTTCTTTGCCGCCGTTCTACATCCTCGTGTACGTCGACGACTTGGTCTTTGCCACAGCTGACACTGCTGGACTCGCCCACGTGAAGTCCGAGCTGCAGAAGAGACACACGTGCACTGACCTGGGTGAACTGCGCAGCTACCTTGGCTTGCAGATCACTCGGGACAGAGCACGCCGCACCATTACCCTGACTCAGTCACACATGGTGCAGCAGGTCCTTCAGCGCTTCGGCTTCACGTACTCCTCGCCTCAGGCCACTCCTCTGCCTACTCGCCACTCGCTCTCAGCTCTGCCTTCGGATGAGTCCGTAGAGTCGAGTGGCCCGTACCCAGAGCTTGTTGGCTGCCTCATGTACCTGATGACCTGCACACGACCTGACCTTGCATACCCTCTTAGCATTCTCGCACGCTATGTTGCTCCTGGGAGACACAGACCGGAGCACATGGCTGCAGCGAAGAGGGTGTTGCGCTACTTGTGCAGTACGTCGGGCATGGGGCTTTTGCTTGGAGGGCAGAGTCCAGTGGTCCTTACTGGGCACGCAGACGCTTCTTGGGCTGACGACCAGGCTACGCAGTGGTCGTCACAGGGTTACACCTTCAGCCTTGGTTCCGGCTCTGTTTCGTGGCGGGCTACTCGCTCGTCTTCTGTTCTCGGCTCCAGTTGTGAGGCTGAGATCTACGCAGGAGCCATGGCTGCACAGGAGCTTCGCTGGCTCACCTACCTGCTGACTGACCTCGGAGAGCCGCCTCGTTCTCCTCCAGTGCTGTACGTAGACAACAAGGCCATGCTGGCCTTGTGTCGGGAGCAGCGACTGGAGCACAGAACGAAGCACATTGCTCTCCGCTACTTTCTTGCTCGTGAGCTGCAGCAGCGTGGTCAGCTGCGTCTTGCGTACGTGGCCTCTGAGGCCAACACTGCTGATATCTTCACCAAGGCGCTTGCGCCTTGTGACCATCAGCGCTTCTGTACTCAGCTGGGCCTTGTGCCTACCTTGCCTCACTTGCTCACCTCTTGACCGTGCTTGTACTGTTACATATATATATACCTGCTCTTGCTTGTCTAGCCTTTTTATACATATGTACTCCTGCATGTGAACTGGCCTTGTGGCCTTGAACTTGTGCTCGGAATGTGTGGTGACTTTGTGATCCACCCTGAGCTTGCTTTGCTTTGCTTTACTTGACTGGTCTTGTGACCCCTTGTTCTCCCCCACTTTGCCTATGGGGGTGTGTCAGAACATTATAGCTCATGCATATTGTGTAGGCTATAGTGGGGTAGCCCATAAGGGGTACAACCCAATTAGGGTTATTACTTGTACCCAATTCATTCATAGTTCATTCATTCCTTGTTTCTTCTCACTTACTTTACAAAGTGGATTTTTTTCTGACACTTACAGGAAAAGGTGAATATGTTTAGGACCCTGATATTTCAGAGTGAAGTGGTGTAGTCGCACTGATCGGGAACATACATCCTCCTAAAAAAGCAGAGAATCAGCTCGAAAAACCGAGTCCCAAGGATAATATACCCACCAAATGCCTCCCACAAGTCTCGATCCCGTGTCCCTTTCACTACAAGACCCACTGTAATAAGTTATCACGCCAAAGATATACTAGCTAAATAGCATAAATAGTCCAAGTTTGGTTTAAACCCTTACAAAAAAGAGTGGTGCTTCCCTGGTATCCTTACAGAAAGAGTGAAAGCAGCTGGTTACCCTTATGAGAAAGACTGGTTCAAATCCTATCCAGAGGCCTGGATTGCACCTTTCTTCTTTAAAGCAGCAGTCTTGCTGATTCCAGCAGTGTTGCTGACTCCAGCAGTATTGCTGATCCCAGCAGCCTTTTCAGCATTGTCAGCTTGCACCAGCACAGCCTTGAGCTTATCCGTGAGCTGAATCACCTTCTTGTCTGCGACAGCCTGGCTCTGCTTAGCCTTCGCCAAGCGCGTCTTCGCGTCAGTAACCGCCTTCGCCTTCGTCGCCTTGTACATGATAACCGCTTTCTGCCCGTCAGTGATAGCCGCAAGCATGCCGTCGTACACCTGGCGAGCAACGGAAACCGCGACTTTTGCATCCTCCACTGCCTTCGGGAAAACGTTCACGTCGACCGTAGGCGGGTTCAGCTGAAGGTCGGTCAATTCCTGCTGCACACGCGCGAGGCGCGCCTGCGCGCGCAGATCTTGCACCACGATATCCCCATACACGTCCTCCACATATTTCCGCGTCTCCTGCGCTTCCGCGAACGCCACTTGCGTTGGCGTCGAAGACGGGTTTTTCATGAACGTTTTTTCCGCCTCGGCCTCGGCCTGCACAGCGTCTTGCACGGTGTTCTGCCATTTCTGTATGAGCGTGGACGTTATGTTTACGCGCCGAGTCGCTTCCGTGACCGCCTTCTTCGCCGCCGGAATTTGCGGGAACTTCGTAGGATCGTCGTTATACGCCTTGAGATCCGCGGTTCGTTGAGCGAGGATCTTGTTCGCGATGCTGAGGTTGTTTTGTGCATTGGCGAGACTTATATTCATATCGGAGATGCTTGAAACGCGGTCGTTGAGTGCCGTGTCCGGGGCCAGCAGATCGGAGAGTGCTTGCGTGGCGGCGGCTACTTCATCCGCGCGTCTGGCGGCGTCCGCTTGCGCCGCTGTCAGGTTCGCCGCCGTTTGATTTGCAACGGCGCGCAACGTCTTCGCTTTCTCCACGAGAAACGAGGATTGAGCGGCGACGTATTTCTCGGGAGGAGCGAGAAGCACGACGAAGCACGCCAGCAGGGCGGCAGAGAGAGCAGCACGCGTAATCGACGTCATGTCTCTGGCGGCGATAAGGAACCGCACTAGCTCAGCTGTGGCTCGAGGCTAGAGGATATGGTAGGAGTGGGGAGCTGGGTTGAGTTCGGCGAGTGATAGTGGCGCGCTAAAGAGAAAGGGGAGCAGCGCTCTGGCGCCGCCGGTTCAAATGTCTAGGGTGGGGGAGTAAGCGGCACGAGGAGGAAGATAACTGAGCTACAAGAGAATTGATGATCAGATAACTGAGTTCAATGGTACTACCGTTCGTGCAGCGAGTTTGATTCTGCGTTTGATAATGCAACCAATCACAGAACCAAATGTATCTCCAGAAGCACGATTTTTTTCGAATGCGACTCGCGTTCAAGGATGTACGGGACACAATATTGCTGCTTGGCTTGGAGCCTCCTAGCGCAAGCAAACACAGGAGAACCGGCCAACACACTCGACAAGTTGCCAGCGGAAAACTGCATCTCACATTGGGCTTGGAGGAGGCAGAACAGGGGGGTTCCATGTGTTCGCGTGAGGGATTGCGAATTTGCGTTGCGAATTGGGCCACCTCGTCACCCAAGGTGACCACACTCACAAGACTCGTTGACCCTCATGCCCATTGGCAAAACGAGCCCTAGTGTGCTCCCCAAAACAAAATGTTTCCTGTCTACTCAAGCTCACTTCCACCATGCTTGTGAAGTATTCAGGTTTAAAGGTTAAAGTTCAATCAATAGTGTCATTGAAATATTGCAACGGGCTTCCAACGGGCAAACACCAGAGATTCACGTAAGCATCCCGTCTCTAAGCGAGAATTATGCAAACTGGTTCATCCCCAGCTTTTATTTTCAACATTCGAGGGGTTGACGGTGAACAAATTTCACACAAGATTGCATGTCTGGGTCATCGTCTTCCCAATCCCGCGCCGCTGAATGCCTGGCGCGGCTCGCAATGGATGAACTCCAATGCCAATTGGAAATTTGACTTTTCTAGATTCTCGAACCAAACCAATGCCTCTAGGATTTCGGGCTTTGTAAGAAGGAACAACTCACCCCACACCATACCATTCTCCAGAGGGTTATTTTATATTAGCAATTTATAAATGTGAAAAAATCCACTAGAGGACTCTAGGGCAACCTTTTAAAAATTGGCTAATCCTACATTCTGTTTCCTTAGTTGCATCGTCCTGCAAACCGTATACATAAATATTCACTCACCCAGCAACCATTCGGCCACCCGCTACTTTCTTCTCACCATTGAGTCTCAGCCGCACGCCTAAATTCGTAACCCCTGATGTTGATATAATCCGGGAAACGTAGTGGATAGGATAATGTCAAACTAAAATGTTGTGTGTTGTGTAGGCTGTAGTGGGGTAGCCCATAAGGGGTACAACCCAAATAGGGTTAGTACTTGTACCCACCTTGTTTCTAGTTCATCCATTCCTGTTCGTTAGTTTCTGACATGATTTCAGAGCAGTAGGTCCTTAGGACCGGTTTTTTTTTTTTCGGGCCCACCATTCGCTAGTGACCGACTGCGGTTACCGCGCTACCCCACGCCCTGCCCTGCGTCGTGCTGCCCTGCACACGCCCTGCCCTGCGTCGAGCCGCCAGCGCGCGCCCTGCCCTGCCCTGCGTTGCGCCGCCCCGCGCACGCCCTGCCCTGCGTCGCACCGCCCGCGCACGCCCTGCCCTGCCTTGCCCGCGCGCCGCTCGCCGCCGCGCCGCCCTGCCCTGCCCGCGCGCCGCTCGCCGCCGCGCCGCCCTGCCCTACCCGCGCGCCGCTCGCCGCCGCGCCGCCCTGCCCTGCCCGCGCGCCGCTCGCCGCCGCGCCGCCCTGCCCTGCCCTCGCGCTGCTCGCCGCCGCGCCGCCCTGCCCTGCACGCGCGCCGCTCGCCGCCGTGCGTGCCCTGCCCTGCCACCGCGCCGCCCTGCTGGCCGACGCCCTGCCCTGCCCTGCCTGCGCGCCGCCTGTCAAACTATAATTCTATAGTTTGTGTAGTTCTAGTCTAGGTGTTTTCCCTTGTGTTATTTTGTACTTGCACTAGGGTTAGGTTTTGCATATATCTTGTTTGTACTTTTCTGTTTTAGAAAATTTTATATTGTGACATGGTATAGAGCTAGGTTAACCCTAGCGAGATTTTCCCCTTAGGAAAAATCACTCGACAATCATGGGCCCACCTAGTCGCACCCCGTCCTAGACCCCCCGAATCGCGCTTACCTTAGGCCCCGTCGCCCGTTTCCCCCCCGTCGATCGCTGCCGTTTTCCTATTTTTTCGGTCGCCCGTCACCCGTCGCGGCTGTTAGTTAACGGGCCCCGCGGCCTTTTGTTAGTGGGTCCCGCGGCCTTTCGTTAGCGGGCCCCGCGGCCCTTCGTTCGTGGGCCCAGAGGCCCCTTCGCTAGCGGGCCCCGCGGCCCCGTAGTTAGTCGCACGCACGCACAGCAGTAGCCGCGCGCACCAGCGACCCGTCGCCCCACCTGTTTCCCACCGTCGTAACCGCCGCCCCACTCGTTAGACGCGGCCCCACCCGCTGCCTCACCCGCTATCTGCCGCCCCACGAGCAGAAAAGCGCCGCCACACCAGAAATCGGCCGCCCCAGGAACTGCAAACCGCTACCTCAGACCTGGAAACTGCCGCCCCACCTGGAAACCTGCTGCCCCACCCGTTCCAGTCACCTCACCAGGAATCAGCCGACCCACTCAGTACTCTCCACTGCACAGAACCGCACAGAACCGTGCAAAATCGCGCAAAACCGCACAGAACCGCACAGAACCGTGCAAAATCGCTCAGAACTGCACAGAACCATACAAAACCGCACAGAACCGCCGCCTTACCTCCCCCAGCAGAACCAGCAGCAGCATAGGCTGCCCCCAGCGCACCAGTAGCACTTTAGGCTGCCGCCAGCGCACCAGCAGCAGCTTAGGCTGCCCCCAGCAGAACCAGCAGCAGCATAGGCTGCCCCCAGCGCACCAGTAGCACTTTAGGCTGCCGCCAGCGCACCAGCAGCAGCTTAGGCTGCCCCCAGCAGCAACTTAGGCTCACATGGAGTGTACCAGAGTTCTACAGCAGCAGGGCCAGCCGCAGCACTCCCGGCAGTGGGGACCTGCGGGTCAACAGGGTGGAGCCCCCAGCAGTGGCTCAGCTAGCAGTGGGCGAGACGTCGGCCCCTGCGGGTACCGGGCCCTGACAGGCCCTGGTGCTGGCACCACCTGCTGGAGTCCTGACCACTCTGCGTCCAGCTGCTACCGTCGACTCGACGACCTCCACCGTGAGCGTTTTGGTTCTCACGCTATTACACCGCACTGGCCCTCGCGTCTTCGCCAGCGCACTGCTGCACTAGTTGAGTCCCACCTGCCTGGTCTAGGACCGTTCTCGGCTGCACGAGTAGAGACCTGTGTTTCCAGTCTTGGTGCGTGTGTTGTTTCCAGTCCAGGCGCCTCTGAGGGTCTTTGTGTAGGAGCTGCAGCTACCACTAGTCTTGCACCAGCCTTTCCTTCACCCTAGACTCTGGAGCGTCCAGCTGTTTCTTTCGCGACTGTACTGACCTCACACCACTGCGCACTCCAGTCACTGTCGCCTTGGCTGACCCCTCTGTGGGACCTGTAGTTGCTCGCAACACCACCACTCTCCCGTGTCCGGCGGCTCCCTCAGGTTTTCTTATAGGTTACTACACCCCCTCGTTCTCTAGGAACCTGGTGAGTGTCAGTCACCTCCACGACCTAGGTGAAGTCACCACTTTCCCACTGGATGAGCCTGTTGCCTCCTGCACAGTCAGTACCACTGGGGCCCCTCTGGCCACTTTTCACCGGGAGCCGGGCTCTGGTCTGTACTCACTACACACAGGGTCCCACTGCACTGGGTCAGGTCAGGTCAGGTAGCTGCTGTGTCGTGCGACTGTCGCTCCCTCACCCACCCGTCTGTCCTCTGGCACCACCGTCTAGGTCACCCGTCGTTCCCACGTCTCAGTAGGATGGCACGTTACTGTCTGGTCTCAGGTCTCCCAGAGTCGCTTGCCCCGCTTCCTCGCTCGCTTGCGCCGCTGTGCACTCCTTGCGTCGAGGGTCGGCAGCGCGCTGCCCCTCACTCCTCCTCGTTCCCCCCCACAACAGCTCCCTTCCAGACCCTGCACTTGGACGTCTGGGGCCCCTCCCCGGTCCTTGGGCCACGTCAGGAGCGCTACTTCCTGATTGTGGTGGACGACTACTCCCGCTACACCACGGTTTTCCCCTTGCGACGGAAGGCCGACGTGCCTACCGTCCTCGAGCCGTGGCTACTAGCGTGGGGTGGCGCCCAAGGGTCTGTGTGGGCTTCGCCTACACTCGGACCGTGGTGGTGAGTTTTCTTCCACTCGACTGGAGACGTTCTGTCAGGGTCGGGGGATCATCCAGTCTTACACGCTACCAGCATCGCCACAGAAGAACGAGGTAGCCGAGCGACGCATCGGCCTGGTCATGGAGGTTGCCCGGACCTCCATGTGCCATGCCGGTGCCCCCCAGTTCTTGTGGCCTCAGGCAGTCCGCTACGCCGCGCACCAGCTGAACCTGTAGCCCAGTGACGCACGGCCACGGGTGACGCCGGTCTCCCTTTGGACAGGTTCTCCGGGCGTAGCAGCTGACTTCAGTGTCTGGGGTTCTCTGGCTCACGTTCGCGCCCCTGGCGCGAACAAGTTGTCTCTGCGCACTCGTGCCTGCGTCTTTCTTGGCTTCCCTCTGGACGCCTCCGGCTGGGTGTTCTACGACCCGGTCACCTACGAGTTCTTCGCCTCTCAGGACGTCACGTTCGACGAGTCTGTCTGTTACTACAGGAGTTTCCCCCACCGAGGTACTAAGGCCTTTTCCCCCCCGTTGTTCCTCACCCTTGAGCCCCCACCAGTCGCCCCGGTAGCCCCCCCCCCTTCGCGTCCTGCCCCGTCAGGTGTGTCGCACGTCACTCCGCAGTCGTCCCCCTCGCAGCGTCCAGTCCCTGTCGTGTCTGGGGGTGCGCGAGGTGCAGTTGCGGAGGGTGAGGGTACTGGGGCTGCAGGAGCTGGTGGTGTCGG